GTATTTGTGGGGTCTGTGTGTGTGTGTGTGTGTGTGTGTGTGTGTGTATGTGTGTGCACGCGCGTACAAACACCCAGCTCCCCCTGAGCATGGCTCTCCCGGGGGCTGGAAGAAGCAGGGGGTCAGCTACAGCTCCCGCACTTGCCCTTGCCCTCAGCCCCCTGGCTTTGAAGCCCATGCCTGGAATTTTTGTCTCGTGTTTGCATTTCCCAAAGCCAAGTCCAGAGACAGACTCGGCTCTTCTCAAGGTCACACAGCAGGCTGAGGGCAAAGCTGGCAGCGAGCCCCGTTCTCCACCTTCTCCTGCACCGGCTGCACCGGTGACGTTCTGGGGCCACAGCCTGCTGTCCCAGCTGGAAATTTCCACTCCTCTGCCCTTCCTCTGCCACGCTCACCTGGGGGACTCCTCCTAGTGATACCAAAGAAGCCCTTTGGGGAAGCGACGGAGAGAATTTCTTGAAAAGGGAACCAAGTTTAGAGCTCTACAGACAAACAGCAGCCAGGAGACCCTGGGGAGGCAGGACTCTGGAAGGTGACACAGGGTCGGAACAGGCAGCCCAACAAGGGAGAAAATAAGATGCCAAATCAGAGCTTGGGGATTGCCCCACCCGCACCCCACGCAGCTCCCTCCAGGCACGAGGCCCCCCACCGGCACCCGGCACCCGCGGGGAGAGCCCCTGACTCCGGTCGCCCCTGCCATCTCCCCGAGCCCTCCAGGGTTGAGGCTGAAGCCCCGAGCGCCAAAGTTCCGAGTTCTAAGAAGGATGTCTTTCCAAGCCTTCAGTCGCTCGACTGCAAACACGAAGTGTCCCCATTGCGGGAGGGAGGCCACCGAGGCTGAGCAGGGGGCTTCCCTCCACGGCTGGGTCACCTGGGTGCCCATCTGGCTCCCGCAGGCTAGCCCGGGGCTCAGTACGGTCCTCCCAAGTGGCCCTGGCTCCAAGGCCCTACCTGATCCATGTTCTCAGCCGGGGACTCACCACCATGGCAGCAGTGGTGGCATTTGCGTCTGATCTCCCTCCAGCCTAGCGTGTGTCAGGTGGACGATGAAGGGGCGCTCCGCTGCCACCGCCCCAGAGGCCTCTGCTGAACCGCAGTTCAGAGCTCCTCTGCCTGGGGCCACAGATCAACAGGGAGGCCATTAATCTCTCCAGCGGCAGCCCGTCCCCCACCCCGGCCCACTGCCCCAGAGCTGGCAGGAACAGGAGGAGCCCCTGGGGGAGGACTCAACTCCCCTCTGGGCTCCGGGCCCTCTTCAGCAAGGCCACTACCCCCGCTCCACCCTGTCTGCCCAGAGACCCCACTGCCTCTGATCGAGGTGGGACCAGACTACATGCTTACGGTGGCCCATTTACGGCACCCCTCCTGGATCAGCCTGGGAGAGTTTGGGGTTGCTGGGGGCGCAGGGGAGTCCCCCAAGGTTTAGAAAACCCAGAGGCCCATGCCGGGGGCACCCTCACTCTGGAAAGGAGGTCAATGCCTGCAGGATCCAGGGACCATTCGGTGCAAGCCGGCAGTCCCTGTGATGGGGAAGCCAAGTGCAGGGGGCCACCTAGCCAGAATGCCCAAGAGGGGATCTCCCGCCGCTCCCCACCCTGGGCTCTTTCTCAGCCCCCACCCCACACATATGTGAGCTCCCCATGTGCCAGTGTGCAGAGGCTGGGTGAGATCGGGCATTGGGCACTCCAGCCTGGGACGGGGGGGCGACGCGAGCTGATGGGGTCCCCACCCTAATACTGCCTCTCCTGCCCTCATGCCCCACTCTTCCTATGCACGGAGGCCGCGAGGAAATGCCAGGGCGGAGCAGGCATGGGAACAGACCCCATGGCCCTAGGATCCAAGGTCAGCACACACCTTTTATGCCCTGAAAGCTCCCTCTGGAGGGTGCTGGGGCGAGGCTGCCTCTGGGGCAGGGTGGTGCTGTCGGCCCGCGAAGCAGGTCCGGTTTCCTTGGACCCTCGGCGTCTCCACCCCGTATGTGTTCCCCCTGCCTCCCACCCTCCTCACCACCCTGGCTGGGCCCACCTACCAGGCCAGTAACTTGCAGCTGGGCCTCCATGACAAATCCACCTGGGGGCGGGCTTAAAAACTACCAACATCTCAACAGTTAAGTCAGAATTTCTGTGGCTGGAGTCGAGAGGAGCGTGCTCTGCCTCTCTCAGGTCCTGCTCGTGCCATTGATTAACTCAGACCATAGGGTTAGAGGCTTCGTGGTTACCCCAAGCACTGGGGAAGATGCACAGACCGCGTTGGATCCCTACCTTCCGGAAGGAGTGAGAGCTCCAGACCAACAGCCGAGAAGCACCCCAGAATAGGGCAAGTGATCTACCTGCAGGATGTGCAAACGGAATGAGAAGAGCTCCCAGCTTTCCCAGGAAACCAGGGCACCAGGCAGACCGTTCAGGGGGGCCTACTGTCAGCCAAGGGCCTTGGAAAGACAGAGTTGAAAAAGCCAAATTCGAAGGTTTGGGCTGAGGCACGTGCTCCCCCTGGTGGTGATAGTGGGAATTGCATCCCCTCGGATCAGGCGTTTTGTTGTTGTTGTTGTTGTTGCTGTTGTATGATGAAGAGTAATTCATCCAGTTGTTCTTTGTGACTCAAACCATGTCTGAATTGTGAGAAATCCCAAAGTGAAGCGAAAGTCAGTAGCTCCCAGCCCATGTGAGCTTTGTGAACAGGGAAGGGAAAGTATTCATAAGGGCCCTGACCAGGAACAGGTCACAGACCTCAGAATGGCACTTGGGTCCATGGTTCTCAGCCCTCGCTGGTCTCCAGAACCGGCTGGGAGCTAGCTACGCATCAGTTTTCACCCGCCCCAAGATTCATATTCAATATTCTGGAGGGAATGCTGGGTGTCTGGGCTCTCTGGGGTGTGTAACCCGGGACCCGAAGGAGCCTCAGTTTTCACAAGGGTGGAGGGTTTGTGGCCAGGGGTGGAGAGGGGGGCGGTTCACCTGGGACCATTACCCCCGTGGAATTCCCCTCCCAGTTGGCACCCTGAGAGGCCCGTGTATAGAACATTCTAGAAGTGTAACTCCTCCCCACTGCTCGTATTCCTCCCCAGGTGGCCCACAGACCTGGGACACCCCCTCTTCCTGTCTGTCCTGCTGTTGCACGGAGAAGCTTCAGGAGGCAACCTCCTGTGGAAAGCGCCCCTGACCAGACCTCCCCCAGCTCCCGTTCACTTCTCCCATCATCACCGGTAGCTCAAGTCCACGCCCCATCTTGTGTATGGAAGTACTGAATTCTATTTAGGGGTGTGGCCTGTCACATTTCATTTGTCGTCGGTGGGCCCCCATCTGGAGCAGGTGTTGCAAAGACCTCGGCCCCGGCTCGTGAGCGGCCAGGCTTTCCTCGCCTCCCTGGAACGTGTCCTCCCGCCAGCCCCTCTCTCTTTTCCCCCAGCTCCCCAAGCCCACGGGGGGTCAGTGGGGCTCTGCCCACCACCCCCAGGGGTCAGTGAGAAGAAAGCTGGAACAGTCACCGGGGACCTGGTTTCTAGCTCTGGCCCTGACCCACCTGCCCAAGTCACTGCCTCTCCCGGGGCCTCAGTTTCCCTCTCTGAAAAGTGAAGCTTGTCTGTTTTGCTAAGGATCTTCTGTGTTCAAACCTCCTGCGATTCTGCGAGGGTCGGGGGGCTTCAGGGCCTGGGGGCCGTGGAAGAAGACAGAGGACTCAGTTTGCAAACGGATCGGTGGCCTGCCTGCCTCTGGCCCCCAGACACACCCTGTTCATTTTAAACTCCACTAACGTGCCGCTGTCCGGGCTCCCCTGCCTGTTCTCTCCTCCCTGCCCTGGCATGCTTGCAGGTCCTGATGGGGGGACTGGACACTAGGTGGTGCCGTGATCCTTCCCTTCCGCAGGGGAGAGTGGAAGAGGGAAGACAGGCTCCTTCTGAAACGGCCAGAGGGGACCGTGCTGCGCTGCAAGGAGGCCACACGCATCAGGAAGTTGGGCACCGGCGGGAGAGGCAGCCTGGCACCATCTTGGGTCTAGTTGTCCCTGGACGGCTGCCTGCCACCGTGGACGGGGCTGGGGGAAAGGGTACCAAGGGGCCCCACCGTCACTGTGCACCCCTCGGCCCTGGGATTCGCCAGGGTGGCACCCCAATACGTGGATGAGAATAGGCCCAATGGGGGTCCCCAAGCCCCACGAGTGGAAAGGGCGCGGCCTGAGCTCAGCACCAAGGTCAGGAGGCAGGTAGGGAGAGAGTGTGCCAAAGCCTGCGCCAGGCCCCCCAGACCCGCCCGGCCCGGCACGCTGGCGCACGTGTGAGAGGGCAGGGCACATGCTGTGGTCACAGACAGCTCAGGGCATGTCTGCGGGAACCCCCAGCAGAGAGCTCCAGTAGCAGCATCCAGGGCCTGAGGCAGAAACCCAAGCAGCACCCGATCATCGCTGACCTTCAGACCTCCCGGCTGTCTCTCTCTCTCTCTCTCTCTCTCTCTCTCTCTCTCTGCCTTGGGAAGACGGGCTGAGTCCTCTGCCCATGGGGCTCGGGGGGGCAAGAAGAGGCCTGCAGGTGGTCCTACGAAACTTCCTGCTTTAATAGGCACGGGCACCTGAGCAGTTCATTGAAAACCGGGAGAGACCAGGCTGCGTTGCACCCCAGCTTGGAAGGGCGAGTTGGTCGTGGCAGGTATAGAGGACGAGGGAGGGAGGCCAGGGAAGGAGCCATCTCTGAGGCTGGCTTTATTATTAACAGGAGGCGGCCGAGAGGTGGGAGGAGGCCATGTGCACCCAGGGGTCACACGGAGCCTGGCGCTTCCTTCAGCCGAGGGCCTGGCGGTGCTGGGGACAAAGGTCTACAGCTCAGGGAAGGCTTCCCAATGACCCCAGTGCAACGGGGGCACGGCAGACTCTGAAAAGGCAAAGATGGGATTTGGGCTGTAGTGGGGGCCGAAGCAGGGCCTTTTGTTTCATTCCTGATTCATCGACCTTTCTCTTCGCAGCCCTCCCTGGCTGGCCCCCTCCCCTGTCCCTCCCCAACTTACCCATCATTACAGCTCATCTTCGTTGACTTGCCTGGGGTGGGGGAGGGAAAAAGACAGGTGAGAGGTCAGAGGAGGAGGTGGTGAATCCAGGGGGGTCCCTGAGGTTGGGGACCCCCCTTCAAAGGCCTCAGAGACCAAAATCCTTGGCCTGGCCCTCCTTCCCATCCCCCTCCACCCGTGTCCCTGCCTCACTCAGTTACCCTGGGCAGACACCCACCGGTGTTTCTTTCTGCCCCCACAGCGGAGTCTTTTGCCTGGAAGAGAGAAAGGAGGTGAGTTTCCCTCAACCGCTCGCTTCCAAGGAGACCCTCCCTTTCCTCCCTCCCTCCCTTCTGCCAAAGCCACAGGTGACTGGTTCTCTCTTCACATGTGGCGGAGCCATAAGCATTCAGGGGCCCAGGCCGTTCAGTCAGTCCATCAACAAACATTTACCGCAGTGGATCCATGGTAGGCTGGGCACGCCGAGAGCAGTAGCCGAGCCTGGGCCATCGCGGTGCCCCCAGCACCAGGGCTGGGCACATAGTCGCCGCTCAGTAAGCTCTTGGAGGAGGACGACTGTGAGGCCAGAGCCAAGATCTCTGCTCAGGCCTGTCTGCCTCCTGCAGCTGTGTGCTCAACCACTATACGGTGCTGCCCTTGAGACACCTTCCGGACGAACTGGGGAGACCAGCCATGTCTGCAGACCGAAGCCTTCAGATGGGATGGCACCAACCATGGACGGGTTAGAATCCCAGGACGCACAACTGATTGCGTTTCTGGGTGTGTTTCTTCCAGTTGCAGCAAAACAAGCCAATAAGCCTTTACTAAGTGCCTGGTGTGTGCCTGCTGGGGCCGGGCTGGGGCTGGGAGATATACAAGGACCCTTCGCTCCCCCAGAACACTGTATGCCTATGCCTGAATGCTTTCTTGGCTGCCATGTCTTTGGATGATAGCCCTGGCTTTATCAGTGGGATCGTCCCCATTTAACAGATGTGCAAACTGAGGCCCGGGGAGTTGGGGATCCATAGTAAACTAGCAGTGGGTCCTGATGCCTCTGGCTCCCCCCATCATTTGCTTTCCAGCGGTGGATGGGGGGCGGGGGGGTGGGGAGGGGTGGGGGGAAACAGCTGAACCCAGCTCTGCTTCTGATTGGCTGTGGAACCCAGAGCAAATTGGTGCACCTGCCACGGTCAGTGGTTTTCATCTATCAAATGGGGTAGCCTTGACCATCCCTCAGTGTTGCCGAGAGGATTCAATGGACTGAGATGGGGGCACCTGGGTGGCTCAGTTGGTTGAGCGTCCGACTTCAGCTCAGGTCACGATCTCACGGTTTGTGGGTTCAAGCCCCGCATCGGACTCTGTGCTGACAGCTCAGAGCCTGGAACCTGCTTCCGAGTCTGTGTCTCCCTCTCTCTCTGCCCCTCCCCTGCTCATGCTCTGTCTGTCTCTCTCTCTCTAAAATAAAGGTTAAAAAAAAATAAACGGACTGAGATGTAGCTCATGCCAAGAAAGGAAAGTGACCGGATCTGGTCAAGGGAGGCGTCCATTGGAGGTTGGTTCCCTCCCCTTGAACCCCGCAGACACTGCAGTGTCCCAGGCTGGAAGAGCCTGCCCTCCCATCTCAGCAGCTCCTCCACTGGCCACCAGAGGGCGCACGTGAGGAAAAGAGAACTTGCTCTGGGTGGTCCAAGGACCAAGTAGGGAGGCATCCCGGGGTACCTCTGTCTATCAGGGTGTCGGTTAGTTCCCACATCCTGCATGGGGCAATGGAGGCGAGCGGAAAGACTCACTTCCCTTCTGGGATCTGGGAAGGGAGTGAGAGGGCTTTCCCCCACCCCCACCTGGGGAACCAGTGCCCAGTGGCTTTGAGAAGAGATGAGGCTCCATGCAGCGCCTCCCCCCCCCACCACCAGCATGAGGCCAGCCCCACTCACTGAGGATGATGATGAGCCCCACGACAAAGGCCAGGGCAGCAAAGATCAGGCCTCCATTGCGGACGGTCTCGTAGTCTGAGGAAGGAGAGGGCAAGGAGGTGGGATGGGTCGCCCCAGGCACCCCTCCCCACAGCCCACCCCAGCAGCAGCCCCATGCTAACAGGGGAAGATGGGGGAACATCACTGGGGGATGCCGGGACCCGGGCATCCGTGCGTGGTGGCCAGAGGAGGGGCCGAGGAGGGACCCACCAGGCCTACCGTAGTAGAATGGGTCCACGTCCCCTTTGGGGTCGCCACCTGCAGAGAGAGCCAGAGGCAGGGTGAGTCTGTCGCAGAAGCCGTGGAACTCACATCCGTCCCATCCGTCAGCCCCAAGTGGCCAAGTGGGCAAGAGGAGGCTGGTGGGCCTGCTAATGCCACTGCCAACGGGGACATCTGTCCTAGGCTGCTTCAGATAGAGTCACCTTGGGACCAAATACCAAGCATCCAAAGCAGAGCTCTGTGCTGCCTGTGGGGGGCTCTGGAAACCCTGGGGGGGGTTGGCTCTTTCCTCTCTTTGCTTCCTACAGTAGTAAGCAAGGCCGAGGGAGACATCTCCCCCTAGACTCACCTCCACGTGACTTCTTAGTCCCTCTCCATGTGACTACTGAACGCCTAGCAGATGCCAAGCGACATTCATGCAACGAATGGAGAGGCCCCTAACATTCACTGAGCAGAAGGGGAAAACCGAGGCCCAGTCTGGAGACTTGTTTAAAGTCCCCACGAAAGTTCGAAGCAGAACTGGGTCTTGAACTCAGGTTTCTAGATTCTTCTCGCTTACGTTTCTATCCTCAACGGGAAGCAAATCCTTTGAAGAGACATTAATATATGGTGTTTACCACATGCCAGGCCAAGGCTAACAAAACATTAGCTCATTTAGCCCTCAAACAACCCTATGAAGCATTAATATTATTCCAATATAATCCATGAGAGGATGGAGGTACCGAGGGGTTAAGTCACATGCCATAAAGGGGGAGAGCTGGCATTCGAACCCAGGCAATAGGTTGCCAAGAATCGAGGTGCTTAACCCCTTTGCTACATTGCCTCTCAGATGCTCAGAAGGAACAAGATGTTTCAAGGTCAAGTATGGTCCGGTCCCTTGCCTCCTGTGGTGTTTCCCCACCAGGGGTGGAGCTCTGCCCCCCAGCCCCGTAAACAGAGCACACTTGTCTTTGGGCAGCCGGGGGGCACCTGGCCAGAGCTTTGCTGCCATGGCTGAGGGTGGCCCCTCTGTCCTGCCCTGCTCCAGCCCCTTCTGGGCGGTAAGTAAGCCGTGCGTGAGGTAGAAGGAAGGCACAAGTTGTCACCTCCAGTGGCGTGCTGAACCGTGCCCTGGGTCACGGTGGGGGGCTTTGGGGCCTGGTGAGCCCGGTTATCCCCAGGGCAGCCTCCCTGGCCAGGCGGGGTCAGTGCCTGGGCCTACGGGGGTGACTGCGGGGGCCCGATCCCAACCTCCAGCAGGAGCCCACCGAGGTTGTCTCCCAGGATCCGGTTCGGGTCTTGTTCAAGGTCACATGGGGGGTGAGTGCCAGAGCCACGACTGGCCTGGCGGCTCCCCTCACCACATCAGGAAACCATCCATTTGGTGAGCCCACCCCGCCCAAAGCCCTCATCTTTCCTAGGTCTGGCTCAAAGCCCACCGTGGTCAACAGAGGCCCCTGTTAGCCTCCAGGCCCGAATCACCCCCATGGCAGGATCCTTCCAGGGGTGTCCCAAACTTGAGGGGCTCTCACCCCAAAGCCAGCCTGGCCCCCTCCACCTCCTGCTCCGAGCTTGGATAGTCCCCCAAGATGCATTGTACCAGGATAGGTGCATGCCAGGAGGCCGAGACAGAAACTCACCCTCACCCCCACCCCCCCCAGCTGCCTCTGGTTCTTCCCCCAGGCTCTCCCGCTCTGCCAAGCAGAGTTAAGGCAGGATCCTCTTTTCAAAGAAATTGTTTCAAAAACTTTAGGCGCCTTGGTGGCATGAGTCGTGTTGCTGTCCCGGATTCCTTCAGCCAGGTCACGCATCTGCTGTCCGGTGAGCGCCTGAGTTCTCCGCCACAGTCTCTGATGGCTCCCGGAGCCCGAGCCTGCTCGGCGATGCTGTGTCTCCCCTCTCTGCCCCTCCCCCGTTCATGCTCTGTTTCTCTCTGTCCCAAAAATAAATAAAAAAAAAAACGTTGAAAAAAAAAAATAAAAAAAAAAAAAGAAAAATCCTCTTAGGATTGGGTGGCAAAGGTGGGGGAGGGGCGCCAGGGACTCTGGAAGGCAGGGGGCAGGGGTGCAACTCATCCCTCCAAAGGTGGCCCAAGGAGAGACCACCTGCTTCGCACACGTTCGCACACACTCACCGTCGTCCGCCAACAGCCCTGCCATTTCCCTAGCGGCCTGGGCTGGTCTCCACTGCCCTCTTCTGCCTCTGCTTCGGGGAGAGTGCTGGGCCGTGGGGTGGCCAGGGGTGAGGTGGGGGCATTAAACATTAACAGTGCTGGGTAATATTTACCCCAGTCACAAGAGAAACCCTAGTGTGCGCGGAGGGGCTCCCTCCGAGGCACGAGGAGGTGAGGGGGCAGGCAGGGGCAGGGAGGGGCTGGCTGGGCTCCCAAATCCTCCCAAAGGAAATTTCCAGAGACGGGGCGGGGAGAGGTAGGCCGGAGACGTCGTGGCTGGGGCTGTGGCGACGGGGAAATGGCACTTTCTAAGTTACGTTCAGTGGGTTCTACAGCTTGGGGGACGATGTCACGGGGCCCCCAGAGGCCCCCAACCCCAGCAGCGGCCCACCTCACCAACCACCGTGGAGATCACTGTTGCAGCTGCTATTTCTTACCCGGCATTCAGGGCTCCCCTGAGGGGGTCCCGAGGTGCCCGCCCCTCTCCCACCTCAAGGCCCGCGCCGAGCCCACCGTGCACGTTCACACCCCCACGCCTGCCCACTCCTGTTCTTCCCCTCATCCATCAAAACTGCCTCTAGCAGCTCGCACCTCAGCCAGAAAGGCTCCAGCCATCCCTCACTAATCTCTCTTCCTGCCGCCTCTGGCATTTTCCTCCTACAATCCAGTTGCTTCCACACCAGCTGCCCAGGTTGCACGTAGGCTCCTTCAAGGAAGGGGCCAAGTCCTGCCACGGGGAGAACGTCTTGCCTTTATAATTTACAAAGCGCTTCCCTAATTATTATTTCCTTGTGCCTTGTGTGAGCTCCCATTTTACAGATGAGGCATCTGAGGCACAGAGAGGGTAGGGCCCTGGCCCGAGGACACACAGCCAGTGACGGGCAGAGCGGAGAATGACAGGCAGGCCTTAGGCTTTAGGGGTCAGGTGCTTCCCCACACCTCTGAGACTGCCTCCCCACTCTGTGGTGGCCTCCTTCGCCTCGGGGACCCCAGGGCTGGGTACTCCATGGCTGCTCACGTTCCCGGCTAAGTTCTAGTTCACTGCACTGGCCTCCAGAAGAGGCTGATGCTCCACGGGGCCAAGGGACCCGAGCTAGCAGTCAGTGTCCACCAAGGAGGGGCTGGTCCTTCCAAAGAAAAAGAACCCATGTTTTAATCCTCCTTGAGCGGCTGTAGGGGGTCAAAGTTTGAGTTCATTTCCTGGCTCAGTTCCCTGTCGAGGAACCCCTGTCGAGTTCCTGAACCTCTCTGTGCCTCAGTCCTCTCGTCTGTAAAATGGGACTGTTCCCCACCTAAGGGATTTGTGGTGAGGAGAAAGGGAGAAAATGCATGTAGGGAGCCGGGCACGGGACCGGATACACAGCAAGTGTCACTATTGTCACTGTCGGATTTGTGCCGACTAGAGAAATAAACGGCATTGACCTTTTGTTGAACGTCAACTGCTGGACACAGGAAAGCCAACTCCCCTCCAGTGAAAATTAGCACGGGGTGAGACGGAGAGAGAATGTCATGACCTCGCAGACCAGGAGCCCCGACACCCATTCGGCAACCTTCAGCTTCCAGAACCAAGCGATGGATATTCATGAGAATATTACAACCCAGCTCATGCTCAGTAGGGGCCGACCATGTGTCAGGCTCTTTAAACGCACTGTCCCACTGAGTGCGCGGTTGCTCCGTTCTTCAGGTGAAGAAACTGAGGCTGGTCATTTGCTCCTTGTAACGGCCCCTGGAGGTGGCCGGGGAGGTGCCGAGTCTCCCACTGGGCAGCCCAAGAAGACTGAGGGGCATGGAGGTTGAGGGATTTAACCGAAACCTCCCATTAGTAACAAAGCCAGGGCTAGAAAGCCAGACCCCCAAGGCTGGGCTCCCAAAGCCACCGTCACTGTCCCACACAAGACACCGGGGCCCCTTCCTACACATTCCCCTGGCATCTTGGCGCATTTTGTCTGTCTCTGTAAGTTATTGCGGATCCCATCTGGAATAAGGGGTGAAAAAAATAGGTGGAAAGTTAGATAGATGATAGATAGATAGACAGACAGGGGAAAGAGTGAGAGATCGTTTCAGACAAAAGGGGAAGTCGGAAAAACAAGTTGTCATCTGCATTCGTAACTCTAATGTGCAAGGCCCTGTTGTAAGCAAGTAATGAAAATCAAGTCACATAATCATCGCAGCTCTGAGGTCAGGGAAGTATTATCATCATCCCCATTTTATAGATGAGGAAACTGAGGCACAGAGAAGTTTAATACCTTGCCAGAGGTCAGGCAGCTAGGAAGTGGGGAAAGCAAGATTTAAACCCAGCAGCCTGGCTTTAGAATTCCTGCAGGTGAACAGGTGGAGAGACAGATAGAAAGGGAGGCTTCGGGACCAGCTGTCTTCCCAGCCCCAGCGGCACAGAGATGCTCAGAGTAGAGATCACCACGTGCCCAGGACTCCACCTTGAGATGCCCTTGTCTAGAAACGCTGCCTGTCCTCGCTTCTGCCTTCCCCGCACTTCTGGGGAGCAGGTGGTGCCCCTGAACGTGATGAGGTAGACACCTGCATCCGAGTCTGAGCAGGCGGGAGGCATGGGGTTGAGGGGACTCACCCAGGTACCACCTGTCCATGGCAGGAGCTGTCGGCTGTGTCCTCGGTGGGAGAGAGCGGTGACGTGCTGGTGGCCAAGGGCCTGGATGGAAATTGCGGCCCTCCCTCCCTCCGCGCCCCGGCGGCGAGCCCAAGCCCACAGGCAGGAAGAGACAGAGTCAAGGAGGAGGGACTGACAGGGGAGCCCTCACCTTGCGTCTGCCTGCCCCTTGGGGCGGGCTGGGGCGGGGATCCACGTGAGACATTCTCTGAACTCCACCAGGCACCCGGGGAAGGGGGGAAGCTGGGAGCCACAGCAAAGCGAGCCACAGCCATCGGCCCCTGTGTGCCCGGGGGAGAGGCCACAGCCAGTGCCCTCCAGGCTGCCCAGGGTGCCTGCAAAGGTCACTGAGGGAGATACTCGGGGCCATTTGTGGATCCCTGTAGGCCTTCACTCAGCTGAGCCTCCTGTGTCCTTAGTAGGCAAAGAAGGGAAGCAGCTGGGGGCCCGGGGTCCGGGTGGAGCAGCTCCACGGCAGCCTGCCCTTCCTCAGCTGGGCCCCCTCTCGTAGCTCCCGGTGACTTCCCGCAGGCTGTGACGTCAGACCTGCCCGCCCCACCTCAGCGGCCCAGCCGGAGACACCAGCAGCCCTCACGAGTCCTCGGGGAATGGCCGGAAGACAGCACTTCTGGTCCCAGGGAGATAGATACAGGGGGCCTGTCCCCAGCAGGAGCCAGGAGCCCACACAGGAGATACAGAGCAGCCCCCCAAGCTGGCTCTCCACCAAGTCTCTGTTCCCTGGCTCCAGTCAGAGGGCAGCCTGCCTCTCTGTCCCTCCTTAGCCATATCTCCTGCCCCGAGGGGACGACTGACGACCCTGCCCCACACGAGAGCCACCTCCAAGCTGGAAGACCCCGGGGGAAATGGAGAACCAGGGGCCTGGAGGGGCGTGACCTGGAGGGGCTGAGGTCTGTCCTGAGGGCCCTGCTCGGGGGGCCGAGCGGCTCCCACGACCAGGCTGTGTCACACGTTCCCAAGGGGAAACCTGCACACTCAGACAGCTCAGGGCTGCCGAGCGGAAATTCCCCAAGCGGGGCGCTTTGGGAGATTCATACATCTCGGGGCTAGATGACGTTTCGGAAGCTACCTGGTCCAAACATATCGGTGGTTCAGAAAAGTGAAGATCGCAGCCGGAAGTCCCTTCCCACCCTCCCCCAAACACACACACGGACTCAGTCTGCGTTACCTACCGGACCCTAATGCAGTGAAGGAAGGCATCTGGATCCCCAAAAGAGACCCTGTGTCATGAACTCGCTAACTGGAACGAACCTCCAAAGTCATCCCGCCCATCCCCATCACTTACAAAGGGTTCACTCTCCTACTCCAACCCTCTGAGAGCTCGGGATGTAAACCAAACTCCTTTCTTTTACGACACTCCTTAATCTGGCCCTAACGACCTCTTTGACCTTGACTCCAACGTTCCCACCTTTTCTCTCTCCTCCAGCCATACCAGTCTCCTTGATGGTCTCCTAACCCTCCAGGCGTGCTCCTGCCTCAGGACCTTTGCACTGACTGTTCCCGCTTCCTGAACACTCTTCCTCCAGAAAACTTCTGGCTAACCTTGCTCACATCGTTCTTCATAGATTGACTCAGAAGATCCTTCCTGACATCCCGATCTAAAATTTCACACTCTGAGGGGCAGGCACCTGGGTGGTTCAGCCGGTTAAGCATCCAACTCTTAATTTCAGTTCAGGTCATGATCTCACGGTTTGTGAGTTCAAGTCCTGCGTCAGGCTCTGCCCTGACAGTGTGAAGCCTGCTTGGGATTCTCGCTCCCTCTCCCTGCCCCTCCTCTGCTCATGCTCTTTCTCTGTCTCTCAAAATA